ACTGTCTGACGCGTCTGCCTCCGCGACCCGAAAGGAGAAGCGGCGATGGAAGATGAAGATGATGATGAAGATGTAAATAAGCGCCGCGATAAGTTTAAGCTTAGCATAACAATATTGAAATATAAAGTCCGTTAGACACGGAGGCAAAATCGAATTTCTTCATAGATTGATTAAAGACAAATCCCTCTTATGGCGCAAAAATTAGTTAATTCCCTGTATGCATGTAGGAGTTAATTTCGCCGAGAGCTTTGAAAGCGGACCTTTCGTTGATAACCCTAAATGACCGTTGTTACTCATAAAAAACTCACAGGGAACGTCGAATGAAAGTAGTGAGGTGCAGTAAGTATTTTGTACGTAAAAAGAATGACATTGGTTACCCCTTGGAATTAAAAATACCCTTACGATGCACTTGTAAGTAAACTGTCGAGGACTTGACTCAAGCAGGTCCCGATAGTGAACCCATGAAGATTACTGACGCAGTCCCACAGTCTTTTTTTATAACAGATGGAGTTAATCGGTGTCATACGAGACGATTGCCTTCAATAAGATATGAGATTGAAGCCGCTGTGTGAAGCGAAAAACACACCCACACCCGATTGCAATCTGGCATGATAATCGCCCTCTTTGAGCTTTCTCTCCAGAAGCACATTATTATAAATCGCGACTTCCTTATTCAACGAATTAGCATTTGAGTTACATAGAAACAGCTGTACCTGTATTTTATGTTCAGAGTTTTCCAATAAATCACACTGCTGCGAAAAGTCCACCATATTTAGGTTAAGGATATCTTTTGACCTGTTGTAATCACGACCGCTTGGCAGGTTATCGAAACCGTGTTCCATCAAGTGACTGCGGGGTACCGATTGCGGGGTCTGCGTATTCTGTAATAAAGCCGAAATATTAGATAGATGAATAAATATAGAGGAAAAAGTATGTAAAATATGCAAATTTTAAAACTTTTAAAGGAATCAGATGATGTCTGAGCGACGACGTCTAACGATGGGGGAAAATCATACTATTCGATCACTTAGATAGTACAACCTGAAAATCAAGCAGATTCAGCATTTATTTTCTTACCACTTTGAATGGATGACGATATTGTAAACGGTCTTGCATCGCATATCCGAATCTCCGGAATATAGAGCACTGGGATCAGCGCATGATTTCCACTTTTTTCATTTCTAGTCTTACAGAGGCTCATAAGTCAAAAAGAGATGACAGCCCTTTGCTACAACCTGCAATAGGGAAGCACCTAATGTTATTTCCAGGCGTTATGTAGCCTATTCATTGATTCTTGGATGCCATCAATCTGTCCATCTGAAAGCATTCACTTCCTTATGGTCAAGTTGTTGCCAATTAAGATTCGGTGCCTTCTTTCGGTTCAACGCTTGGCAGGCTTTAAAATCAACTATCATAGGTTACCTTGTTATAAAACTACAGAAATGGAACATCAGCTTTCTTTGCATTTCGACGCTGGAAGCTATTCAGAACAACTTCATTTCATGAAGACGAGGAAGCACCGTTGATACCCCTTTCGGATCTCTTCATATACGAGTGCCTTGCTACAATTCGAACTCGCAATTTTCGATTAGTCTCATTTTATTGACTGAACAAAATCACTAAAGCAGTAGAACAGTAGTCTGAGAAATTTAACTGTCGCAGAAGTGAAATATGGAGTTACACTTCATAACTGTTCAAGTACAAAGCACTTTGCATTAGCAATTTAAGCTGTAGTTTACTGACGAATAAAATTTAAATTATAAGCGAGCGCTCAATTTTCTGCTTTAAAACCAAAAATGTTGAAGGAGAAAATGAAAGTTTATCGCCGTTGAAATGTAGGTCTTCCCTCACTTTCCTGATTAGACTATTTTGGCGCCTCTCTTTTCTTGAAATTCGTGGTGCGTTGCTAATACCAGTTTCTACGACATCGGTCGGGACTGTGGAGTCTACAGCCATGTGACAAGCATAGCGTATAGTCTCCTAGATGTCAGTTTCAAGCTTATCGTGGTACTCTTTCGTTAATTTAATTTTCCACGTATTCTATGTCGTACAGAGTACGATTCGCACTGTGTCACACTTAGGTTTTCTCTTTTCGACAAATGTTACTCAACCACGTCATGGTCAATTCATCGGTAATACTATCTAGCCAGAAATTTTGTACTTGCATCACGGCGTTTTTCAGCATGGATTCGGCACACTACTTGATCTTGTTGTTGTCAGCTGGTCACAGTGAGACGACCGAAGAGTGAAACTTTTATTTCATTTCTTTATTCCATTGGAAAATGCTGATGTTTATTTCTGCTTGATCTACTGTTTAAGCGTTTTTTCTGTCTGTCTGTCTGTCTATATATATATATCACTTCTAGCGAACAGCGATCAAGCACATAAAACATCACTGGCAAATTGACAGCGGTTTTCCACAAATTTTGCTGCAACAGTATGGTTCTTTCCTGAACATCTGCTTCGTAGAATCCGAGCTGGTGATCAAAGAACCGAGAGAGTAAAAAAATTCATACTCCCAACTAATTCATAAACATTTTGTTAACTAATCTCTATACACTTAAACAACCATGTCATAGTTCAGAAAATACAGTTAATTTTGACATAAAACATCCTTTCATAATCAAAGGTTAGCATTCTCGACTTTGAAAGCGATCTCTTTAAAACACGGTGGGATGCATATTCCTCTGCCACGTGGTAACAAGACAGTAGCCATCTAAGTCTACAGACAATTTATACACTCGAAGAATATATGCTGGTAAAGGTTACTTCTAACACGCACTTGAGTGAAATAATAGTAAATCAGTTTAATGATGGGAAGTTACAACTAACAAAGAAATAATTGATATTTTACCTTATGATAACATGGAGCATTCGCCACTGTTCTTCTGAGTTTAGCCAAAGTATCGTTTATCGATTTATTTTCATTCTCCAACGACGATTTCTCATTCGTCAAATGAAGGATTAGACTAAAACGAAATATGGCGAGAGTAAAAAATGCGTAACAGCAGCCAGTGATCAAACTTCTCCTTTTCCTTTAATGTTGCTTCTTTGACTTCTAGTTTGAGCTTCATTCTTTGCAAATTATCCTTCAAGCTTTGAGAGGCACAGTCTCCAACGTCCAATGATTTCGCAGCGAGTGTCTTTGCAACCTTATTGAGCATGTTCTTGCCCATAGCGTCTTCATCAACCATCATCGACTCTAGAATCGAACGTTAATGAGGAAGCAAGGAAAATATTACCAGTCTCAAGCACTGCATTAACATAATTTTGGCCTTCAAATAAATGTACCATGTTAAATTTAGACAGAATCATAATCTGTGAATCACCCTTAAAACAATGATGAATCACCCTTAAAACAAAATCTTTCCCATGCTTTATTGGTTTAAACTCAGTCGTTTGAAACTCCCGAACCAAGGAATCAGCACCAAATTTTGCATTAACATGTTTTCGAAAACGTAATTGAGAATCCATCGTTAACTGATTGGCAGATACCAACGATGGCATTTAACGTAATTACAGCAAAATACACCTAGGTAAAGGGAACAAAAAAATATTTGAATGCGGTCCAACCAATGAGAGAGTCAGTACTTCGCTGAACAGAAAAATACTTTACGCATTTTCAGTACCTGTGAAGAAACCTCTGCCTGTCAGTCTTAAAACGACAACTATCTCTTGAGTTTAAAGCAAGAATGCTGGATCTGCAATACAGCAAAATATGCTTAAGCATCAGAGATCATTTTATTGATACTTGAGTAGCTGAATTAAACAGCTTTCGCAATTTGTCATTAATAATGTAACACAAACGCAAAAAACCGAAGCTAGATTTGACAATCATATCATCTAATTTACGGTCCTCAGCAATTAATGGTCGCGTTAAAAGAAGCGCTACAGCTGTCAAACGATCATCACGATAGTTTTGGAACCCTCTGCTGCAAACGATGGCGTACTACGAGAAGACGTAGAGGTAGAAGCACCCACAGAATCAGGTGAAAAACATTATCTTCCGCGAATAAGAGGGCAAAACTTGCAAACTACAACGCATGACGGTTTAAGCAGACCTCAATGATTACCGTTCACTTGAAAATTGAGTGAATGCACTGAAGCCGGCTTACTCAGGGCTGCTGCTGAATACTGTGGTTTAAAACGGGTCAGCTTGCTGCCGGAGCGTCAGAATCTAACCTTCTGATGGACATAAGAGGTTCAACCGACTGTTAAAGAAAAGACCGCATTCAAAAGGAGGTTTGAAAGGAGAAAGATCAGTTCGAATGTGGTACAGAGCAGCATCAAACAGGGCAGTGAAGTCGGTGGTGGTAAAACAGGACGCTGGTTGCTCAGAAAAATCTAATGAGGTGCTGGTGTCGAATCACCAATGACAAATAAGGCATTTTGACAGAAAATCCACCGCCTCAGAAATGGAAAGAAGGGCAATCTAAGAGTCCTGAAAGAAAAGTGTGAACGACTTCTTACCAAAGTAGAGGACATACATCGGCGATAGAAAGAGTACTTCGAGAAACTTCTTAATCCGGAGCAACTCCACGAACACTGGCTTTAAACAGCAGAAGAAACGGATATTAGTCTTTCAGTAGAAGAAATCACAGAAGCTGTAAATAGGTTTAAATGCGGAAACGCTTCTGCAAACAATGAAATCCATCTGAGGTGCTCAATGTGTTTTCCAGAGATCATGCGACATTGTGGTGAAGCAGAAAACTTTTTGTCGAACCAGATCGAAGTCAGAATCGGCGTAGCCAAATCGAACGTTCATGCTTCTGAGTGGTTTTCACTGTCTTCGACCATGAAAGGAAAAAATGCGCTAACCATAATGCCAAAAAAACGAAAAACCGAAAGCGCAGCTCAAGCTATCCTACGGTATATTTCACTGACATCGAATACAAGGGTGAAGACACTCTACAAAACGATACGAGATATGGAATATGCCTAGAGTCGGAACTGGTTCAATCATTGCAGAGAGTGCGAGAATTCGACTCTATAGAGTAAAAACTAAAACGATAAGGAAAGCCGAACGAACAATGCCGCAGGCTATTCATTCAGTGAATAATGGCTAGCTGAGATGGATCCGTTCAAATACCCTTGTAAAACCCTTACCAGCTAGAGGTGAAGATAACTGTTCTACTAGTATTCTGAAACCAAACAAAAGTATGAAGCCATCATAAATCAGTCGGACGATGAAAATCAAAATCTTCATGTTCTTCAGCTTCATGATTACTTGGTACAAACTAAAACCAACGATGCTGCCGAAAGCCGATTCCTGCCGTTGAATGCCTTCCAGTAAGGCTTATTGAGCAGGCTTTAAGCAACACATCGATGTCCAGAAGTAACGAATCAGAAGATGATATCTGTGACTAAACTATGAGATGTCACGCTATATTCACGCTACAGAAATGGCAAATCATATGGCCTACAAAACAAAGACCATAGGCTAAAACACCGCTGACTCATCAGATTCTCATTTATGGGAACCCTGTCACAGAAGCCCCACTTCGCCGACCAATAAGAACTTAGATTTACCCGTCAAGCACCCTTAAGAAAAGTCCTTTGCGGAAGCAGTGAAAAATATCATCAATCATACTGAAAATCACACTACTTTGCGTGCCATCATGCTGCAACCCACTGAACAGAGCGAAAATTATGACACGATGGCACCCAAGCTGGTACAGATGACTGTCCGCAAATCCAGGATATCAGAGACTCTGAAAGAAGTAAAGAAAAAGAAGCCGAAAAAGTTATTCCTGCTACAATCGCCAGCTACCACACAACGGGCACGTTCTATGTGTTTTGAAATGCTTATTATACATACGTCGAAAAAGTTGTCAAGATTAGCGAGAGGACGTTATAACACAATGTAGATATTTGCCAACGCGGAAAATATGACAAAGAGCGAACTGGACATTGAAGAACAAGACCTATTGAACATCCGGTGTTGAATAGTTGACAGCTCGAGTAATGAAACATCAATTTGAACTATGCCGGGTACTTCGCTACCATGGGATTTTGCTTTAACATCACGACAACGATCAGCTCTGTACAGCTGGCAGTATTTGAAAGTCGCTAAACCATCTTCAATTGCTTCAAGAACCACAATTACTGAATCAGAAGGGTGCATGGCGCAAGGGGGTTTGCTGGTCGAATCTTCCATGAACTGTCTTTCATGTCATTTAGCATGTGGATATGAGCCAAAGTTACCTGACAGCCCTGACTGAATGTTCACTGTCATTAACGACGCAGCTTTTGCAGTTTTACATGAATATGTCGTCTTTCTTCAATATCGTTTACATCAACTCAGCATTGCATATCTAGCACAAGTTTCCCTGGTTTCACTATCGAGAAATTTCGCACTTACGGAATAATG